GACAGACTAAATTTTACACGATTTGGGGTAAATGTTTGGTGCGGTATTGTAAAAGGTTACATATTCGGGCCCTATTTGTACCATGAACATTTAACTTCAGTTCGTTATTTACAATTTCTGCAAAACGATCTCACTTTGCTTTTACAAAATTTGTGAATTGACGTAAATACTATGTGGTTTCATCAAGACGGTGCCCCAGCACACAATAGCAATATCGTTATGAATCATCTAAATGGCGTTTTCAGGAAAAGTGATAAGCACAAATGGGGATCTTAGATGGAACCAATAGAAGACATGGCTGACCTGTACAACAAAATATATGTTACTATAGCCGCTATTAATCAAAATACACTATTGAAAGTTTGCAGAACCGAATTATTATATCGATTTGATATGTGTGTATAAAAACGGCAATAATTTTGAACACCTTGTTCGACCTTATTAGTTAGTTTTTGGTATTGTTCTAATTTTCTTTAATAATTTTTTATAATTTCTCACAACTCTTTCATAAAATTTAAAACATCCTTTAATTTTATTTTATTATGTTTTAATGTTTTACCTTTGTTTTTAAACAGCAAAAAATATAGCGTAATAATAATTTATGGTTTTGATTCTTAATGATTTTTGTTTTCCAAATGGTTTTATTTGTATTTCTCGAAAACGAAGGAAGATATGAAAACAATTTAACAGACAAAAAAAGGATATTTTTAGTTGCTTAGTCCGAATAAAAATATAAAAATTACCAAAAACTCAGTGGCGTATTATTTTTTGCCAATATTATTTGTCAAGGGGCCCTCTGAGGCGTCACTGGACGTAATAATTTTAATCTAGTTAGCGCTACACTAGCGTTTTATCACTATAATTATGATTACCAGAATTATATGATCATCTGCTAAAGCATATTAAAAATATTTATAATTAAAATACTCGTTAAAATTATTTAAAAAAAAACTTAACCCCAAATATCTCCGTTCATGTCGAATTTATCAAAAATTTGTATGGGACATAATTTGATCAAAAATTAATTTAAAAGTAGCTGCCATCGAAAAATTTTTTTGCACAGTGGCGCCACCTACATCTTGTATTATTCAAAAACATTTTTCACACAGTTGTGAAGCCAATCATAGAGGCTAAAAACTGGCATTTACAGAATTTAAATGTCACTTTTAGTTTTCGAAATAATTGGCCTGGGAGTTTTTATTGAAACACCCTGTATAGTATATACTATATATTCAAGGCGCTAGCCGAGGCGTTGGATTGTGTTTTATAAACTATTTTTTCAAGGTTTTTACATTTTTAGGTTATATTTTTTTAAGCGTATAATTTCAATTTTATAATTTTAATTTCTATAATACGGCATTTTTTCACCTGGTCTATAATGTCATATTTTATTACTCCTATGATTTTAATTAAAATGACAAGTCAACAGTTGATAATCTCTACGTACCCAAAATGTGCTACAGGAAGGTCAAGTTATAACTTGTATACATTGGCTTTAAAAAAATACTAAAATATAATTTTGACAAATACAGTTTATCAAGATCTACACTTTAAAACAAATCCGGTTAAAACCGCACAATAAATAAAGATTTTACAGGGGTGAGTCGCAAACAAATGGATCAAACTGTATAAAATGACCGTTTAAGCTTTATATCACATTTTTGCATTACTTACCTACTTTGAAATTAAATTCTAAATACTTTACCTAAAAAAAGTATTTAATTCAAAATTAAAAAAAAAACAAGCTCTAGTAACTGAAACCTTGAATGACATTGTTGTAATATTATAAATTTAATTTGGACATAATAATATTATTACGAACAATCAATGGATGCAGAACTGTTTTAAAGGTTAAACACCGCCCGTATGCTGTTCGTAACATAACAATATTATATAATCTGAAATTAAAATCACTCTTGAACTTGACCTCAGTCAAACCGCCTTGCATTGAAGCTCGACTGTTTTTGTTTACCCAAACAAATGTGCACCGGATTGTCTTACTTTTAAGCCCGCTGGACATCAAAATTCGTTTCTGCTTTTTTGCCCGAGATAAAATAAAATTGGTCGGTAAGAAAGGAAGCTGCGAAATATCGGAAAAAGCCTCAAGGTGCATTTAAGTAAAATTTCGCTCGGTTACTTGGCTGCACAACGTTTCAATTTTATACTTGAAAACTCCATTACTTTTTCCTTCTTCCACAAAGGTTTTATCGCTCCTTCTTCTTGCAGGAAAATCTATTCAAATTACTTTGTATTGCCATTTTCTTTTAATTTTCAGTTTCATTTTTTAATTTCTGTTTCATTGAATATTTCAGATAATGGAGTAGATTCTTTTAAAGTATTAGCAGACATCGCTATAAATATAGTTTTAAAGATTATATTATTATTATACTAAATCTTTATTTTTAAGTTTATTTATGTTTTTAAATAATAAGTCTATGAATATAGTTTTAAAGTTTTAAAATATTAGATTTTATAAAATATATAAATATATGTACTTCGCTTTCTTAATAAAATCATCTTTTTATTTTAAAAATCACCCAAACTGAAGCACATTTTATATCAACATATCGTCGTCAACCTTACAAAGTGATTTATAATTTTACAGGAGAAGATTTTTGCAATATTCAGTTTAACAAATTTTATGATTAATAGTAAATAATTAAGACAAAACTGTATTTGTAATAAATATGTATATATTTACAATAAATTTAGCATATCGTCGTCAATCTCACAATCCCATTTTTTTAATTATACAGAAGATCATTTTGAAAATTACTGCAATATTCGATTTAACAATATACTTCGATTAACATTTATAACATATACTTAACATATAAAATATATAAAATTACAGATATAAACCATAATAATTTTATAAGTTTATTTTAGTATATTTTTAACTTGCAGTAAGTTTTAATATGCTTTCTTGTAAAATTATACAGTGGCGGCGCCAGATTTTTCTTTCCAGTTGGGCGACACCCGGCAGAAAATTTTGAATTGTGGGCAGCAAAAATATGTTTTAGGTATCTAGGTAATGTTTCAGATAATAGGTATAAATTGTATAATGTACCCACTAATTATAGATATTTTGCGGATTTGTGAATAAATGTGAAATACAAACTAAAACGAAAAAAAGCACAGAAATTATTTCAAAATCAAAATCAAACTTTTTCGGGAATCGATAAAACTTAATGTTTTTATTTAAAGGGTTTTTCTTGGACTGGTTGTCCGAATTGCATTCAAATATGCCACACCGCATTTTAATAAATGCAAATGGCACGACACAAACTAAAACACAAACAAAACAAGTTAACGCAACACAAAAACAATAATAAACAAACAGAACAGGTTAACACAACGCAATAACAATAATTTGAACACTGAAACGTAATTCGAACCTTACCGAACACAAAAACAACAAGTTAAACAAAAAATAGAGCAAGTTAACATCCAAAAGCATCGCAAAAACAAGAATTTTAGCAGCAGATAATTAAAAAACACTCGTCAAGTGACGTATTTAAGCCCCGCCCAACATGCGCACCATCCTATCTTAAGGTGTGTTGGCCAAACGTATTTCACAAGCTGAGATAGCTTATTCCCCACAGAGGCCGCGTCGGTCTCAGAGGCGTGCGTTTTTGGACGTTTATTGTAATTCGTGATTCCGGAAACACGCTGATTGAATTATTAATTGGACCGGTTAGTTAGATAAAATATTGAAAGCAATCTAAAAAAACTACTTTTCTCTATATATATTTTTTGCTCAAATGTTTAGTTTAGCAGGTTGGGCGAGCGGTTGGGCGGGAACTATTTGGGTTGGGCGCTCGCCCAACCGCGCCCACCCCTGGCGCCGCCACTGAAATTATAAAAAATACGTCCCGTGTGAGAATGACAAGGATATGCCATATTTATTAAAAATACAGCTATATGCTAATTATTAACTATTAATAATAAAATATGTTAATTATAAATAAACTAATTTTTAAAAAATAACTCAAAATTAAATATATTATGTTAATAATTACTTCCCGGGTTATTTATAATCAATTCAGTTTATTTATAATTAACATAAGATATTTGTTAATAACAACAATTTGTTTTTAAAAAAGTATCAGTTAATAAGGGTTTGGTTGTTTTAATACAATTTTATTTCTCACAATACTTTATTATTTGTATTCATGTTGATAAATCTCATATTAACTTTTGTTTTTTTGTAAACAAAATTTTTCTTCTTCCTGATTTCTTTAAAGTGAATTTTTCAAATACGTTTATTTATTTGTTTCAAAGAAAACCATCCTTTATAAGGCAAAATGGACGCATTGATATTCGTTAGAATGTGGTCGATACGGTTAGTTTCCAGTAGCAGAAAAAAACGCGCACTTCTTCATTTAAACGACACGCTCGTTTAACGGGTCCTCTGCTTGACTAATTGCGACAAGAAACAGCAATCCAGCGGTGGGCACCACACCCTTATCTAATTTTTCCCGTATCTCAAGTCCAAGAGTTTATCTCTTTAAAGTAGTGGAAGGCAGACACTTAAAGTTAACTGGCAACAGCGCTTTTTCTAAATTTCAAAAATTAACCTCGGATCCAAATTAAACACAACAAACACAATTTATTTTACAAAAACCAACTAAAGCAACTTTAGAATACACCGGGTTACAGTAAAAATGTACATTCTATGACAATTTTTTTTTTTATGTATTTTGCCATACTCCAAAATTACAATACTTTTTTTTACGGCAGGGTTTTCCAAATAAAAATTTTTTTGTTTCTTCGAAAGCAGCTTTACTATTTGGGTCATATCTCGAGTTTGAAATGGCCAATTGTATTGCAAAAATTATTTTAACTTTCTTGTTTTGACGTGTACTATCATCCTCCCAAAGGATTACAATTAATTAGGCACATCAAGAAGAGTTTTTTTATACAATATTGCAAAAAACAAGAGCGGATTAAGAAATATGTTGTCGGCCTGTGAAAGTAATATTGGTTGTTTTTTTTCAGAACATTATGTGGCGGCAGATTCAAACAGCTCATCGACAACAAAAACTTTTGTACCTTGTAAAGTGTGTGGAGATAAAGCGTCAGGGTATCATTATGGGGTAACGTCGTGTGAAGGATGTAAGGTAGATATACTTTTTTATTTTAATTTTTCTGCACTGACAAATACACTGCAATACGTTCCTGCATTTACTATAAACTAAAAAAATGGTAAACAAGTAGAAGCCACAATAAAAATCCAGTCAGTATAATATAAATTTTTACACGCGCGTTATAAACAGACAAACAACATTTATAATTTAGTTTAATTACCATAGCTATATTACCCTAGAAAACATGCGGCAAAATTTCTGTAGACCAGTGTAATTGAAATTTCCTGCTGTAAAATGCAAATAAGACATATGTAGGTATACACAGATAACTGCTAAAAAATAAAATATTAATACATCACATAAAATTGTGATGCAATATACTCATGTTCAACATTATATGGAAATGAATATTTACAAGAGAAAATTTTATTTATTTCCTGTTTTTAATTTCTTTTTGTACATAACAGATTTATTTCATTTCTTGTCGAGCGAAACCAGTTTCTTGAATTCCCCGTTTGAAACTCAATTGCAAGACCCTAATAAATTGGTCAATTCAAACTGAAGACCATTTATTTGCCTATTCATATTTAAATTTTACATATGTATTGACCGATAAACTGGAATAACATGTTTACGTGTACTTCTTGGTAGCTCTAGCTACAACGTTTAGCAGAGATGTGTTCCGGAAATAAGGAAACTGCAAAATATAATTGTCAAACATTCTTGAGTATTTTTAAGTCAAACACAAAGGATGATAAATAAACATTTCGGCGTGAATTCAACACGATTGGACGGAAGCCTCCCTCAAATGAAGCAAGAATATGCCTCATAAATTCGACCGGGGTGCTTCAAATTTGGTAAAAAAATGTGTTTTCTTCAGAAAATCTGGTTTTGTTGCTATCTGTCGTGGAATTGGAGAATCGAATTTAAAGTATTTTTTTGCCAGATATTCTGGCCCAGAAGTCATTGCCAACATTAGCGATTTTAATCACTTAAAAGACATTTACAAAGTTTTAGACAGATTGACAGTCTGGTTTCCGAGTAAAAAATTATTAAAGATTCTAAGACTATAATGTTGACTGTGTCCAACCAAAAATATCAATCTGTCATTCTCGTCTATAAGATCCGGCAACAAGGGATTACGAACACGTGATTATCTAGGGATATTTGGTTTAATTTATTTGGTGACTACCATAATTTCGTCTTTGAAGTAAATTATTACAAAAAAAAGTTATTTGTTACACAGCAAAAAAATATTTGTTAATTTTAACCAGATTTTATGTTAATCCAGGTCCAATATAATTGCATAAGTAGTTTGTAATTATAACAAACATATTGTAAATCCTACTCTCTAAAAATGAATTAGTCAAAAATGACTAATTTAATAGGTATTAGTGGATGCTTTTTCACTTGTACCATGGTATCCCAAAATTTAACAGCCAATTTTTATGTAAAATTGTCCCCTGAATCCGAAAATGTCGTCATAAAATGTCAAGATAAAAAAGTGGAACAGTTTTTGAGATATAGTAAATTTTCCATTTAATATGGAATTTACTATATCTCAAAAACTGCTCCACTTTCATAACTTTTGACGGTATTATCGGATTCAGTGGACAATTTTACATAAGAATTGGCTGTTAAATTTTGGGTTACCATGGTATTCCATGGTTAACCATGGTACAAGTAAAAAAGCAGCCACTAATAACTATTAAACTAGTATATCAATAATTAAACCTTTTTGTAGACCCAGTAACAAAAGTATTTGTTGGAAATTGGTTACTTAAATTTTAATAAGAAATTGTATTAATCAATTAACTAAAAAAAAAATTAACACATACCTACATAAATGAACACTTAAAAACATACACACAAGTAAATAACACACCATTCTGAAATCATGAAATTATAAAGAAATTTGGTACAATAAAATTATAATTATCAGTACTACTATAAGACTTAATGATGTATTTCTTAACTTTAACCCACTTCACTGTATCCCATAATTTAAGTTTAAAAACCAGTGACGGCATCTTTTTTAGGATACTTCGCACTTTGCACACTCGTTAAATAGGTATAAGGAAAGACAGTTGTTACGAACACGTTACGAATTAGAATAAAGTAAGCAGAAACATAAGTTGCAGACGCTGAAGTCAGTTGAATTTGTTGATGCGTATTGTCAGTGGGAAATGTTTTAATTGACTGCCTCACGTGAACTTTTTTAACGAAATAATTTGTTAAACATTAACAAAATAATCTATAACCTTTGAAATTAACAAAATTGCATAATACAAAACTTTGATAAAATATTTTCTTTAAAATATTAAAAAAATTATGTTTAAATTTTGCATTCAACATACTGCATTTTTTATGTGACTTTATTTTTTGTTTCCATACCTTTTTTTTATACTTTGTATTCACTCATTTTATATTTTAAATAACACCGCATATAGAACTGTCACTGCCACTGTCAAAAGCGAAAAGCGTTACCATAGAAACCAACTATTAACAACTCGCAATGTCGCGTTTAAATCCTATTTTTTAATTTTTTTAAATCACGTTCTTGTGTTACATTATATGTAACACAAGAACGTGATGGTTCACGATGGTTGTAGATCTTTTTTCGTATAGAAAAGATAAACTTTGATCCAAGAAGAAATAAAAAAAGAGTTGTTTTTTTTAACAACATATTCATGCCAAGTGTGGCCACAGGAATGGCGAAGATCTAGGAAGCGAAGCGAAGAAAGGCTGCGAAGAGAAAGAAGAGCAGTAAAAACGAGTTTCGCTGAAAAACAAAACAGTTTCGCGGCGATCGGCTTCGAGAGCGGAAGTGATCTGTTGGCGAAATGCACCGTTAGTTTGGCGAAACGATTACCTCCACGCTAGCACCGAAGAAACAGAGACGCAGAGCAGCCGTATCGTTTTAAACTCGTTTTTAATGCTTCGCCTCTCGAATAGCCAAACAAGAAGTAATGTAAAAACAACGACGACCGAATGGCAGCCATAGAGACGTGCAGACATGGAACTATCTATTTGTTACTTATAGTTTATCGCTATTGTTATTATCCTTTGAGTTAGGTACCAATAAAGCTCCTTCCCATTGGTAACTTTCTAAAACTATTTACGAGTTTTGCACCATTCGATTCCAATTTATTGAAATATTAATCCGTCAAAATTTTAATATTAAAATAAACAACAAACCATTTTATGGGATTTCTTTAATAAATTTTCATAGTTTTTAAAAATATTACTGAAAACACAGGTTTTCTAATCCTGCTGGATTTTTGCTGGATGTTCACCAATAAATTTTTAAAGACTTTTTTTAATTCTTAAAAAAACTTTTATTACTATTTTGTATATTTTAATTTTTAGTACCTATAGGCATACATCTATCCTCTTTTAAACCCCATAATATGAATTATATCTTTAATGTTCTACAAAACTGATTTCTACTTTAAAAGCTTGAACAAAATTAATGTAAAGATTATAAGATAATTATCTTAATTATTTTTTATAATAATTAATATTACAAGTTTTGTATTTTTTTGTTCCCTATGTAACTACTGTAATGTTTATAAATAAATTAAAATTTTGGCAAGTTACTCACAATGTTTACAACAAACCCGGGCCACAGCGGCATGAAACTTTATCAAGCTAGAACGAAAAGTGCAGTGTAGAAAGGGGTATATCACTTAGAAAGGCAGCAACGCTTTCAACGTAGACTTTTGCTAAAATGGCGTTATTCAAACTATTATTGATTCCATTCGTAAATTTTATATTTGAACAAAAATGTAAACAGACCTATATTTTAAAAACATCAAAAACCAATTCTCCAAATATCTTATTTATGTACATAACACAAAACATAAAACGTTGAAACTGCAGCAAGCCTTAATAATTTATTATCCTTAAACTCCAAGAAAGCAAAATGAAAAAAAAACCAACGACCTGTACCTACCTATATACGTATATATTTAAACGCGTACCAATTTAAATATGAATGGGGATTTAAATAATCCACAACACAGAAAAGATTACGCAGCTACCGCACACACAGAAAACTTACCAACAGGTAAAAGCCATGGAGATGTAATAAAGAAGGGTCTTGTCCGTATTCTGAAACAAAACATGAATTCGTTATTTTTTTTCTAAAAAGCAATTAGGATTGCCGGTAAAATAAATAAACTTGTTTCCTGGTACAAGAGAAAATATTTTTCAATTGAACCTAATTATGCTGGAACAAAAGCTTGGGAGTTTTATTAATTACCTAGACAGGATAATTTGTTAATAAATACTTCCGCATCGCCACGTATAGGTTTCGTTCCAAGATATTTGAATAGTTCGTGAAGATTGCTTACCGTCAAATATTGATGAAATAGTCCGGTTTTTGTTATAGTCTGTAATCTTAACACCATGTTCTTGGCATGCTAAAATCAAGTTCTATATTTTTAAACGGGTGTTTCCTGAAGCGTGGCGCGCGGAAGTTGATGCCCATTTAAATTTATATATGCCTTTGCTTGTGTATTATAACATGTTGTTTCCTTGTTTCGGTATTTTTATTGCGCCAGGTACCAATTATGTACGGAACAGAAATGATAGGTTTGTTTTATGTTCTTTAATATATACTTTACTAAATTGCTTAATTTACATATTACTTTGTTAAAATATGATTTTTGTTTTAGGGTTTCTTTAGAAGAAGTATACAAAAACAAATAGAGTACAGATGCTTGCGGGATGGGAAGTGTCTTGTGATAAGGCTGAACCGAAATCGATGTCAGTATTGCCGGTTTAAAAAATGTCTTGCCGTAGGAATGTCCAGAGACTGTGAGTATATTTTTTTTAATTAAGGATGACACGAGAGGCTTTCCACATTTTTTTATCTAACGCTATATAGGCTATATAAGAATAAAAAACGATAGCCAATTTCCAATACATGACCATAGGGAATTTATCAGTTTTTATACCCACTACAAAGAATAATTACTCAAAAGATAAGATATCATTAATTGAAATTTTTCTGGTTAAAAGAAATTCATGTATGAAATATATAAAATAAAAAATATGCATAAATTCTAAACATGTTAAAAGTGCTAATGCAGAATAGAGTTAAATGGCCTGAAAAACTTTCAAGGAAAATTAATATTCATGAATAATTTATTAAGTGGGATATTTTTAAACACGGAGAACAATGACGTTTATTACATTGTGGTTGAAGTTAAAAATGATACTTTTATACACTTGATATATTGACCATTTAGGTTCTTTGCGGTTTTGGTTTAAGATTCCTTGAAGAAATCAATTAATTTAATTTTGTTGCAAAAATGGCGAATGCGCCGGGATCACAGCCGTTTCAATCAATAGTAAAACTAACTTTTTGTGTTATGTTTATTTTTAACAATTTTTGTTATGACATTTTCCGATATACAGGGTGTACATGAACATAAAAAAATATACATTTTGTATGAATTTAATTTTTTAATTTAAATTTGATTAATTTAATCTTACAAGTTTCCACGACACTAAGTAGGTAATCTTTTAAATACACAATGACAAGTTGTGGCTTTATGGCGTATTAGTCACGGGCTGAAGTTAGTTAACAGCTGTCCATCTTGTGAAATAATAATGTGGAAATTATTTTATTAACTTAATGCAAAAATAAAAAAAAGTATTAAATAGTTTCTCAACGCCTATTTGAAAAGTGTGGGTTATAAAATAACCTAAAATTAACCTTCAAATTGACATTTGACAGCCCTGATAGAATAAGGTTTAGTTTTTACAAAAGAGGAGTAAAATGATTGTTCTTACCACTTTGAGGTCTCTTTTAAGGCTTGCAAGTCTCTCTGTAAGAAACACAACGTTTAAAACGATTATTAATCTGTACAAACCCAAAGCACAAGAATTGTAAACAACAAAAATGGCGGCCATTGTATGATGTGCAGTGTTGCAGTGATTTTTAGAATTTTAAGTTGTGTGGATTGTGGAATAAGGTTTTATTATTATAATAATAAAACCTTATTCCACAATATATTGCCCACTGTGCAAGCATATTTTGGGTCAATTGTCGTAGGTCTGGCTTTGCTCGTGCCTAATAAAAGCTTGCAACTAAAATGCTATTTTCCAAAGTCCTTTTTACCATTTTTACATCTCTACGTTTTGTTTTTATAAAAAGTTTGTTCCTACAGAGCATTTTGACTATCGAATGGACGTCAATAGCGCAATAGTAAAATCGCGACTATATTTATTTAATCATGTTTTTCTTGTGTACAAAATCTACTCTAACTTAGTTGTATGTTGGAAACTTTAAATCTTTTAAGTTTAATCAATATGTATATTATAAAAAATGTTATTTATTTTACTTTTATAATGTTTCCATCCTATTGAAATAATAAACTAAACACAGAACAAAATATTTACAATTACAGTACAAGAAATAATACTGATTTTTATTTTATTAATGGGTTAAAGTTCTATAACAATTTACCAACTGATATAAAAAACTGTAATAATTTAATTAGGTTTAAGACCAATATATTATCTTTTGTAAAAACAAAAATTTACCTTTGAAACTCAGTTCTGATATTATAACGTATATTTTATATATGTACAGTTACGGAAAATAGTAATGTCCATTTGAATGCTCAATTGTAATTGGGATTTATTTCAAAATATGTTTATATATAGAATTTACTACCTGCTCGTATTAAATTAATTATTTTGGGTGTATTACATATTTATTATCTTGTAGCTGTCAGATACGGTCGAGTGCCGAAGCGGTCGCGAGAGCGCAGCAGCACCGAAGAGCCGACGTCGCGGGTCACGCAGAGCGACGCCGACCAATCGGACGCCGAGACCAAGCAACTGGCCGTCTACGATGTCATCCTCACCGTGTCGCAAGCGCACCACGCCAACTGCGGTTACACGGAGGAAAACACCAGGAATCTGGTCGGCAAACCTATCGTGCTGCCACCTGCCAGCCCCCAAGGAAGCGAGGTAAAATATGTCTAATATAGTCTGCACGTCATCAACGGCAAATGACGTCATCGTTAAGGTCTATTCATACGTGCCCAGGCACAATCCAACGCTCGTGTTTTGTTGGGGCTATTTATTTAGAAGGAATTATAACATTGTTTAATCTTCCACACTAACTAATAAGAATTTGTCACGGGAAAATTTTGAACGAACCAAGTCAGACTTGGAGTCTGATTATAATCCTTAATAATAAATTTTGAAAAATAATTATTTCCCAAAATTTATTATTAAGGATGCGGCTTAAAGCCTCATTTATAGATTGTCTTCCTTCCTTCCTCCCTTCCTCCCGTAAAAGATGAACAATACGAAAACCGTAGTGCCCTTTATAGATTTCCGTACGGGATTGTATTGTTCATCTAGGTAATCAGGCTTAAGACTTGTAACATTGTTGGCACAATCCTGTGGCAGAATATGATAAACACAATATACAAAATTATTTATAATAATTTGCAACAAACGATGTTCAAGCACGAAATGTAAAAATTACAAAAAAAAGTCAAATATAAAATAAAGGTGACCCATCAATAATATTGAACGGTGCGTGCCAGCCTTAAGCTATTAGCAACGGGCACACACAAAAATTACCAAGTGAATGGTATATTTTCATAATTTTGTAAAAAAAAAACGTTTTAAAACAGGGAAATTGTTACAGTTCTTGGTGAACAAAACGCAAATGATTGATATTTTTTATAGCACATCAGAATTACATATGTAAGGCGTATATACGCCTTAAAAATAAATTTAACGGCAGTAACTTTACAATTCAAAGTGCACCCATACAGAATAAAATCCAAATTTGGTATACGCTAAAGAAGTATCGCTAGTAGCGCCACCACTTGGCTGTTATCATCGTAACAAAAGTATAACTTTTAATAATCAGCTGTCAAACGCTTATTTTACCAACTTGTGTTTTTGAGAATAAAGCCGTAAAATGTAAAAATATCGAATTGTTGGGTTGTTGGATGTATTTTGAGAAGAAATCCTGGGTTGAGTTTTTACTGGTTTTCCAAAAAACAATGTTAATCTGAATGAAGAAATAAATTGCATACAGTCTCTGTAAATATAAATTGTACTTATTAGATACAATAAATACACATTTTAGTAGTTATTAACGTGAATAGTGTAAACATTTCAATTCAGTAAAAATCGTCAAACAAATAAGTCGTCTAAATTTAAACAGCATTTAGCCTTATTAAAAGCGTTGATTAAGAAAGTCTCCACTCAACGGTAAAATACCATTATATTATGTATTATGTACAATATTTTGTTGCCATGAATTCGTAGGTATATTTTGTTGTTTAAAATGCAGTTGTCGGGGTTTTTTAGAGAACTTAAATATAAAAATGGTTTATTTTAAGGTTATGTTTGTGCAAAAATGATTTTTTACTAATATCTTAAAAATGTCCAAACTAATATAAATTATATTAGGTAAAGTTATCATTAGTTAATTTTGCACCAACAAAATTTGTTGTACATTTAAGTACATTTAATGTACTTACCGAATTGGATCCTTTGGCAAAACATGAAAATGCAACGATTTGGTTCTTGAATTTTGTTTATAATTAAAAACACAATAATTCACCATGATCCCTTTGATAAAATACACACACTAACGTAACTATATAAGCATTTAAGCGTTGAGTTTCTTAATCAATGATATAAGGAATAATCAATCAAAATCGAGTAGGTACTAAGAAAGTTTTTTAATTTTTTCCTTGCAACGTAAAACACAAATATCATGCGCGATTTAGCTGTGCAATTGAACAAAATTTGTCGAGTATGATGTGCAGTTCGTATGCTTTAAATGTATTGTTGACAATTCTTAAATTCACGCGTTGCGAAAACCCGATACTTCTTAGCGTATTGAACAACGATTTCAAACTTTTTTTCTTGCTGTAGGTGGCGACATCTACGGCGGAGTCCATGGAGCAGGAGCGGTGCTTCCTGTGGCAGCAGTTCGCGTCGAACATAACGCCCAGCGTGCAGAGGGTGGTGGAATTCGCGAAGCGGGTGCCGGGTTTTTGTGACCTGGGACAGGACGATCAGCTGATACTGATCAAGATCGGCTTTTTCGAGATATGGCTGAGCCACGTTGCCAGACTTACGTCGAACGCGTCGCTCATGTTCGACGACGGCACCGCTGTAACGAGGCACCAACTGGAGGCTATGTACGATGTAAGTCAACCAGTGTTGTAACGTATCTAGTTACAAGTAACTGGTTACATTATCTAGACACTTTTTATTTATCTATTTGTGTAACTAGTTATTTATCCCAATCTGGTAACTATAACTGTAACTAATTACAAATTTTTAGTAACTAGTACCAACGTTTTAACAAGATACAGATTCTGTATCTATTTACTGTAACTGTAACTAGATACTGAAAATGATGTAAATATTACAAAATTGAAGTGAACATAATACACTTTCCAAACTCTTATGATAACATCACTGTGTCTTTTTAGGCTGACTTCACGACGTCAGTTGTTCACTTTGCCAGTACCTTTAACGCGCTTTCCTTAAACGATACGGAAGTGGGACTTTTTAGTGCCGTAGTGCTTCTAACTGCCGACAGACCAGGGATAACAGACGTTAAAACTATAGAACACCACCAGGATAAACTTATAGAAGCGCTAAAAGTACAAGTAAGTAGCCCAGATACCTTAAAGACTGGAAGGACAAAAGCTTAACAAATTGTTTCAGGTGGGTCGTAACCACGCGAACGAGCCGCAGCTGTTCTCGAACCTCCTGATGAAGCTGCCCGAGCTGCGAAACCTGGGCGCCAAGCACACCGCCCACCTGGATTGGTTCAGGATGAACTGGACGAAGCTGACTTTGCCTCCGCTTTTCGCCGAAATCTTCGACATTCCAAAGTCCGACGACGACCTGCAGTGACCTACCGTGACGTCATCGCCTGCTACTACCATTAGCCGTCTCATTCACCACAGCCACCCCTTAGTATTCCGACTTTTTATTGGCTTACGTTTCGTTTCCTAACACCGCCCACTAAGATACGATGAGGGTTTTTTTAAGCTTTAGAATTTTATGAAGGCAGAAATGTTAAAGTTAAAAATTACTAAAAACTATTTTTACTGATTAAACGCAAGAACCCAGCAAACACAACCGTAAAGGTTCTATAATGGCCCTTTATAAACGTGCCTTTAATAACTTAAGGCCCTATAAAGGCAGTCAATAAAGGCACTAACAAGAACCATTCCATTTTTTGATAAAGGTTCTGATATGTCAGAATAAAGGTACTAATATGGCAAGTTAAAGTTCCAGATATGGGCTGTTAAAGATTCTACAGTGGTTATTTAAATAATAATTTAATTCACTATAATAAATACTTTACTTATAAATCCATTACAATAAATAATATATTATCGTGAAATGAAACACTAAAACATTCATAAATTTACAAGAAAAAAACAATGCAAAAACCTGCATGCATAAGTATAACATAAAAATTTTATTTTAAAAACTGTTTAGTTGGTAATAAATAGAATCCATAATATTTAAATCAATAAAAAAATCCTTAAACTAAATAGAAAATATTTAAAATTAAAATATATATACTTATTTTTTTTGGTAGATTTTCCTCTATAACAAAGAAAACCAGGTTTTCTTTGCCATTATTAATTTCTTTTATTCACCCCAATTTTGACCTTATCAATTAAATCTTTCTACTAAATTCTTTGGCGATATTTTGTCTGTAATAAGAGTTCTAAAATTTGTAAAATTAAAAATGCACCTACTTACTCATTTAAATTTAATAACCATTGGGTATTATTTTTATTTTTTTATTAAAACTACTATATGAATTAGGTGAACTAGGCGTCATTTTTAAAATATGGCGTTAACCAAAGGATAATTAAAAGTTCATGTAAGTTTTATGCTAAAATATACAAATATTAGCCCAAAAAGGGCCATTATCACGACAGCCTTTTATCAGAATTAATATTTTTATTAAAACGTTCCTGAAAAGCTTTAAAATGCCATCATTAAGCCATGAAACTATGTAATGGGCCATTACATAATCAGACTTATATGTTTGCTGGGTAGTCTAATGGTGTTTGGTAAAACTGCGAAACCCTAAAAATAAAATACCCCATAAAGAAAGAGAGAGAGAGAAAAGGATTTGCGGAATCACGGTGTCGAATGCCTCCACTTGCTCAAAACAAAATAAAAACTAATAATTATGTAATAAATAATGAATTAAGTAAGTACTGAAAGGCTGAACGTGGATAACTGGATAAATGTTACATCAATCATTGAATGACAGGGTCTTCAGCTTTTTAATTGAATAGCGATTTTTAATTGTCCGCTTTTTCAAATTTTCGAATCGCATCTATTGTTATACATATCACGTGAAATGATTTTTAAATGTTTTATTATTACTTTTAACTCTATTTGTACATATTGTTGCGATTTTTCGTTTTAAATTTTGGTGTGGAACTTGGATTTCTCACACGTACAACTATTTTTTGACACGAGTTTATAAGGTAAAGCTTCTCTAAAGTGCGCACAATCTGCGCACTTTTAGGAGACCCCACCTTATGCCATGAACCCAGTATTTTTGTTTTGATGAAATTTTTTGCTTTAATTTTTTGTTTTGGAAAAGGTGTCAAAGGAATATGTAGTGTGAGAAAAAACCTCGGGTATTAATATTATAAAAAAATAAAGTTAATGTTATGTATCTTTAGTCATGTAACTTTAATAAACTAATGTCGATAATATAGTAGTCAACTACTGTGCTTATAAAGTGAGGTAACAATCATATCGCGAAATATCACTAACCCTAGTACCTATTACGTAAAATTGTTAGGGTATTGTTATTTATATCTTAGAGTACAAATAATTCTTATAGAATGATTTCATTAATTATTATTATAAATACTACTATACAGGGAATTCATTAGTACTGTGGTAGAACTTCCGAAATGTATGACATTATCAATGGAACACCCTGTATTTAGTGGGATTTTATTTTCTAGAATGAATCCAAGTTTTAGATGTATGTATATTTGATGATGAAAGCAAATAATTTAAATTTTACTCACACATATCTCATTAATAATTTAATTTTATACTTAATATTACTATGACTGAATTTGCTTTGTACTTAAATCTCCTTGGTTAGTGACAAAATACGAAGAACAACTTCTCGATAAGTTGCTCATTGTATATACTTTGTATGTATATAACGGAGGCTATAAATGGATATTGAGATTAACAGAAAAGACAATTAACTACTTAAATTTTGTTGTATATAATTCTACATTTTTATTGTTAGAGTATTATCTATAGTGGACTTAGTGGTGTAAACTGAGTTGCCTATGTTACAGGCGGAATATTTTGAAATAATTTCCCACACACAAATATTTTTATTTATCTGTGTTTCTATGCATTTCCACTGCCTTATCCATATCATGCCATTTTAATTATTTATTTGCAAATTATATTTAGGAACAAAAAATGCATAACTCACACTCATCTCATCAGTGTATTTATAAAACGAACGTGTTTTTTTTATGTGCTCATGTAATGAAGAAAATCCTTTACCTATAAATACTTAAATAAATGTTAAAATCGTTGTTATCAATCTTGTTTATTCTATTAAAGTTTATATGTAAGGTATTGTTTACTCATTAAATCTTTATTTTAATCTATATTGGTAGAAAGTTTCATGTTATTTTATGCTATTTTGATGTGAATATTTAGGATTTTGTTATGATATATTGTTTAATTTAATTATACATTGTATATGATACAATAAATTCAATTCCTGCAATGAAAAAGTAGTTTTTTTACCACCATGAACATTCTAAATATTAAATTTTCAATATTATTCTATAATTTTTTACAAAGCTTGCCATGATTCTTACGATAAAAGAATTTGTATAATTGGGACCAAAAGTTTAGGTTGCATATTTAAGAAATAGTAAAATTCAGTACATTATTTTAAATTGCAATACGATTAAACTGCAATAATTATAGAAATAGAAGCAATAAACTCACCTGCAATAACACAACACTGTAACTGTCAGTTTTAATGTCATTCATAGAACATGGCAACTTGATTACTAGTGTTTATTAGAATGACAGTATTATAAAGTTAAATTGAATTATTTTAAAATTAGAGCTTATTTAACTTAAATTTAAAATATAAAAAATGTGAAATTTGAAATCGTTGTAATGAGAGCCCCGTTCGGTGACGCCATCTGCGGCGAAATTTAGCACTAGATAATCGACAATTGAGACAAAGAGAGGAGCACAGTGGAGCGAGATGGAAAGTCCGTAATAAAATATGGCGGAATAGACAGTTGAATGGGGCTGACTAGGAGCAAACTACTTGGATTTTTGTTGTTTGTGTGTGCGAAATAATGTTAAACTAACTGAAAAACGGTCGTTTAGGTCGCGGTGCAGTGTTATGTGTGAATATTATGCGGTGTACGAGTGGTTCAGTGAACGTCTATGCTAATTGAGTGACAATCTGGATTGGAAAGGGCATGAATTCAAATCATGGGCGCTCAAAATACCAAGGAAAGAGCCACAACAGTCGGAACGCACTCCATTAAACCGACCAGAACTAAGCCAAGGGTCACGAAAGATGGACGACAGATCGGCTCCAATATTTTCACCGAGCATAGTGGTATGAATCACTCTTTTTTCCCAAAAAATCTTTGTTTTTATCGCAGATACAGCCATAATTTTATTATTATAATTGTCATTGTAATCAACATAGTGGGCATTGATTTGATGACGTTTATGGTCAAGGCAGACTTGATAAAGTCTTGATTTTTACTTCCAAGAACGTCGTAAAGTTTTCTATCGTTTTTGGAGTGTGGAAACAAAGCCGGCTGGTGTAGTGTGACAGTAGTCGTCGTTCAGGGGTTGCGCTGATGTTTCAAAGCAAGTTCATTCATGTCGCGGAGCAGTGGACGATTTCTTCCACTGTTTTCGGTTTTCGTCAGTGTTGCCAGATGGGTGATTTGTCTTTGATTACACGGCTGAATAAAAAAATCAACATGTTGCTTAATCAACTTTTAACTGATATTTAAAAACTTTTTTATAGAAAACATTTTTTACTACATACTGCAACCTGGCAACGCTGGTTTTCGTCGCGAACCGCTCCCCCACCGAGAATACAGTTCACCCCCTCTGACAGGCAAAAGTCTCCAACGTTCTCTCTCGATTTCTACTAAACAACGTTAATTTTCTCTTATTATTCGAGACTTTCTTGCAATTAGGAAAACTCACTTGCTGTTAGCGGAATCGCTGAAAAAACAATCGAAAGCGCAGTAATCGCTATAAGTATAAAATAAAAGTGGTTTTGATTGTTCTTTTGATACAAACGTTGGCTGTGCTCAATAGAATTTTTATGTGCTACATTGGTTCACATAATTGGACTATTTCCTACCACTGACGTTTCAAATGCATTTAAGTGGAAAAATGATTGCCATTTTATGTTCTTTTATTTGACATTTGACAACTGGAATTGTTCTCAGGCACTGACCAAGGCCGACTGAGATTTTTATTAAACCTTGTTAATAAATTTATAAATCCTTATCTTTTTATCAAAGGTTTCATACCATAAAAATCGGGCTATCATCATCTGTTAAGTTATTTTTAATGTTTCCATGCCCAACAGAATGTTTTAAAAATGGCATTCCCAATTTAAACTGAAACAACCTCCCACTGAGTTAAATCATGCAGAATTTGCTTCATAAATAGTGAAATTCCAACATTTACTCAAACAAATTTAAATGACCTACATTGCTTCATATTTTTTGTTTTGTTTATTTACTTTAATCTCGAATCCATTACATAAATAAATCGTGTTTATATATGTTTGTTTCCAAGAACATTAAACAATATAATCTTGTGTTATCTTTATTTTAATTCATTAAAATAACTTTAAAAACAAATTTAAAATACCGGAAGCGCCATAAACTAAAAATTATTATTTTTGTAGTGGAGAATGACCCCTTAATTTGCACAGCTGTTTTTTAATAATCGTTTACCCGCAAATATTTGACAATTTAGAATAAATATTTAATATTAAACGTACACAACAAATTCAATGTCGACAGTTCAATTAAATGACGTTTTATTTAAGTTATTTTGTTATCTAGATATCCAGGTTGGTGCACCTGTTTTCAAAGTTAATAGTTGTAGTAAAAACATTTGAATTAATTAACGTTTTTGACAATCAAAGTTTTGTTGATATAAATTGATTTTTTCTCTTTAAACTGTGATTCACCCTGATAATAAATTCCATGCAAGTTCTTGAAAATACTTGGCTGTAGAGAATAATGTTGTTTTCGATGAATTTCAATGCGAGATAAAACTCTTCAAGCTCAATGTTTACTTTATCAAATGAAATCTTCTGTATTTTTAGCGTAGTACTTTACTGAGTACTTGTTGCTCAAACTCACTCATCGAATTGATTTTGTGGGCGCGCTGTTGCCAAATGCACGTGCCGGTGCGTTCACCCTCGCCATCAGTTGGCAGCAGCGTTTCCCGACGACCGTATGTCCTTATAAGGCCCGGAAAGAGGCCCTTTACAAAACGCCCGCGACTGTGTAAATTTGGCTGGGGTCATGGTTGTTTTTGTTTGCTCTATGCCTTCCATCTCTCCGAATATCCATAATCTGTCGGTATTAGTTTTTTCGGTTAGGTATTTGTATTTAATTCTCTCTCTGCAGACTGTATTGTAGGGTTGTTGTATTTAAGAGGGTTGGCTTTTTATAATCACCCCAATTAGGAAGTAAAAGGGGTTATGCACCTGTTATTTGGAATTTTAATTTATGAGTACCAAGATCAAAGGGCACTGACTGAAAAAAATGATGAATCAGGGTTTTAATTTAACTTTGAAATTCAATACATTTTTCACTCTAATTAGGAAAAATTTGTTTGATAAAAGGTACAAACTTTTACTCTTAGTTTTTGTTGCTGTTTTTGTCTGTATTTTTGTGGTAATTTGTTTGTACGTTGGCTTTTCGTATAAAAATAAATGTATTTCAAGCACCTAGGTTTATTTAATAAAAAAAAATTATCCCATACTAACCCACATCCTAATTAGGTTTTCCTTATTAGGCAGGTTGGTAATAATTTACAATCATCAGTTCTTTGATTAGGTATTTTTAAATTTTAAATTAATGACCACAGGCTTCCTGTTAAATGCCATTTTATTAAATAAATGTTAAAGTATTGTTAATTTTAAACCGTTCATAAATTTGGGTTTTATATCTGAATTTTGACACATTTGATTATGTTGTTAGTCAATATCGAGTCAATATCGGTCAATATAGTATTAGAACATAAAAAATGTCTTATGGGATTCCCCGTACTTATTGTATCCTCTAATGTTTATCCATGCACTTTAATGATGTTTTAACAAATTTACAATTGATAGTCAAAAAATATTTTAAATATAAAATACTACTGTAAAACTTTAAGCTTAAAAATATTTATTTTTAAAAATTTTAGTTCAAATATTTTATTCTTCAAAATTATCTGTTTAAATTTGTAAAAAATCATTTAAATGATAGTCAATAAATTTTTATTACAAAAATTCTCACATTACATTTAAATCTAAGTTTTAAATTTTAAAGTGATCATTTTACAAATTTAAAGCAAAACTTTTTATTTTTAACAATTTTAAATTTTAAACACAATTTATAACTTTTTATAAATTTTTAATTTACAAAGTGTAAACGTAGCTTTAGCAGAGTGGTAAATTTTAAGCATTTTCCATGAAAGGTACAAATCGCGAAGTTTGCAACACATGCAGTGAACTAAAGCAGCATTTACACTTTGTGAATTAAACATTATTATAATAAACAGAAATGTTTGTGTTAAATATGTATCAATTAAAATTTGTTTAAAATAAAAGTTAAATTTTTCAAGAGTCATTTAAATGATTTGATGATTTTAATCTAAAAATTACCACTTTAAAATTTTAAGCTCGATTTTAAGTATTTTAAACTTAAACTTTTACATTTGCACTTTATATTTAAAATATTTTTTGATTATCAATTTTTTTGAATTAAAAAAAATCAACTTTTTAAACTATTTTGGTAGAAAATGTTTTTATTTGAAATGTCTTGACACTATTATTAAATACTAAAAAATTAAACTTTACAAATTTAATCGAAATAATTTTATAAAATATTTAGGTATTTAAGTTTTACAAAATTATACCTACATAGGTAGTTACTTAAAAAATTATTTTTATTAAAAAATGATGGTTAGAAATTTTTGCAAAAATTGCTTGGAAATAATCTTGCTTAATACAGAAGGAATTTAGATCCGTGAATGATGAATATTTCTCATAAAAAATTGTTTCTAAAACATTTGGCGTCCCGTTGTCAAAATAATGCTGTTAAACTAATTAAAAACTATTTATATGTCGAATTAACTAGCCTTCTAAGAAATTAGTCGCGAAAAAACATACTATTAATAACAAGATAGGTATGTATTTATTATATTCTCATCAGCTGAAATTGATGTAATAAAAGAATCGTGATGGTCTACCACAAAAATTTAAAAATTTTTGTGGGAAAATAACCTGGTCAAGTTTTTGGAAATTTTAGGCACAGCTGTTTATAAACATAAACATTTCTTGGAATGAGTTTTTAAACCATAAACATTATATTCGTCGATTTTTCTTCAGTCTGTTAACTTGCGCCAAAAATAATTTTGTAACGATTTTATTTTCCTGTTTCTTAATCTCGGCGGTCACTGTTGCCGCGACCTTGCGACGTTGAAAATGTTATTAATGTTCGCGCGTTACAAGTTTTTTATTTAATTGGTCGACTTAATTTCGCGGCAAAACGATAGCTATTGTTTCATTTCCTGTTGCGAACGAAATTATTTTTCGTTATCATTGCTTTGTCAATAACAATGTTTTATTATTTTTTGTTTTATCTCTGGCAACGCTGTCCGAGAACAACAACACTTACAGCTAAAAACAATGAAAAAAAAAATATTTTTAATATTGACATCTGATATTATTTAAATCGATGATTTTATTTTTCGTAAAGCGTAAAATTTTCTACAAATATTTGTCTTCTATATTGTTGCATGTCTATTAATTAGCGATTGCATAGAAAGATACTTGGTGCACCCTATAGAATCTGATGTTTTATGCCATGGCACGAATTTAGTCAGGGAATTTACGTATACGTCTATAGACCGCAGACTGTTCATATATGGGCAACTTGAATGGGCTACCTAACGGTTTCCTTCCTTTTTCAGAGAGACGCATTTTATTTGCTAAATCGGTTTTTCGATTCAGAAAATAATCCTTCTCTTTCTCGCCGAGCGCCAAGAATATTAATTTAAGTCCTGCATTTACCTTGACGATAGTCCTTAAAAGGAGCCGTTTTTAACATCTGCACTGAGACGGTTAAATTGGTAATTTTAAATATTTTTAACATTGAAAATTATAATATAAAATCAATCGGTATTCATTGGTTTTGTAAATTTAATAACAAACATACTTGTAATTTTCAAGAAGGTCCTTATTTTTACAAACCTTTTTGTAGACCCAGTAACAAAAGTTTTTGTTAAAAATAGAAAATAATTTTGATATGACATGTTGCTTTATTAGTCTTTTGGGATACCTTACACTTGTCACACTTGTTAAATATGTATAAGGAATCCGAATAACAATAATAAAATATTGCTGGTAATACGTTACGAATTGCATATTACTTTTATAAAACTTTCGGTAAAATATTTTCCTTTGTTAAAATAATTACAAACCCTGGTTAAAATTTTACAAAATTAAATTAACAAACTACAAACTCATGTAAACAAATTTGATTTATATAACAGTGTAACTATCTTTTTGTATTTTTGTCATTGCTTCAATGTAATTCTATTCTATTCTAGGCAGTTTCAACTTGTGTGGTCTGTTTATCACTTGGTTTTTTAATTTTGCCCCTTTGTTGTTTTTTAATGACTTGGTAACTTATAGGGAGGGTTTGTTGTTCTGAAATATTAACGATCCTAAATGATATGTTTTTTAACATTAAAGAATTTTGAGTTGGATAATGAAATCTTCACACCAAACAATCAATGGTATTTTTCCCATAGCATGACTCAGTATTTTAATTTTTTATTATCATTTTCTCTCGTTTATTATTAATTACTTTTACCTATAGTCCGGTCAAATTAGACCAAAAATTAACAGTGAAGGTACATAAATTTACAACAGGCTGAAAATCAGTAAAATTGTTCAGAATATAATTATAAATAAAATTTTAAAGTTCCCCATCATTCCCCTGTATGGAAAAAATTTTATTCAAGGTCAAAGGTCAAAAAAATTAGTTTTTCGCGATTTTCAGCAAAACGGGAAGTTTTATCACAAAAATATTTCTGACAAAAATTTTAGATCATAAAATTGTCTATAAAAAATATATCGATACTTTTTTTCCTAAGAGCCACCGTTTCTGAGATATAACGATTCGAAAAGTTGTAAAAGTTCTAATCGTCATAATATACATGAGTACGGCACGTATATACATCTCTAGAGTTTTAATATATGTTAATATATTTTTCTATCGGTCATTTTCACTTACACTTAAAATATAAAATATACCTACATAAGTTATAACTATAAGAATATCAAGTGAAATAAAACCCAGTCCCTTAAGGGACTGGGTATAAATTAATTAATTTATACGCCATCGAGACAACATCTGTGACAGATGACAGATGACAGATGATCTGTCATCTGTCACCTGTCATCTGTCACCTGTCATTTGACCCTGTCAAATGCCACCTGTCATTTGCCACCTTATCGATTTGATTTCGGGGATTTTAATTGGTTAACTTTTTTAAATACACAACAAAAATTAAACGGGCTTCTGGCCGATTAGTTTTCATTCGATGAAGCTCATCTTTTAGTATGTCAAACTTTGGTCTTTTACCCGTCGATTCGTGTATTTCGTTCGGCCAATTTCAAAAATTTCTCTCGACCTAAAAAACGTTTAAAATTTTTTCGAAAAAAATAAAAAAAGATCGAAAAGTTTCCGGCGGATCCGGCCCGTTTGCAATATTTATTTTTTCCGTTGTCTGCTAGTCTGTATATCCTTTTTTTTCTAAGCGCCGTAGCTCGGAGGCCGTTGAAGGCGGACACTCGAAATTTGCATCCTTTTTTCTGCCCACGAGACCTATCCGCGGACCAAATTTTTTCGGTGTTGAAAATGCCCAAATCCACTTTTTTTCGATTTTTCCGTCAGCGGAGATTTTTCGGCCAAACTCAAGGAAAAGGTGCTTCGGGACAAGAAGTTATCACCAACGGCATTCGATTTCTTCTTTCTATATACGGAGCTCGTAAAAAAACTACCTGCTTTGATAAGTATCGATATGCATGTTTCGTTAAAAATACTAAAATAAAAAACAAGTTCAATTAGCTTGTCTTCCTCCAACCTCAGTTGCTGCTCATCAAAATATTTTTCGGGTATATTACCAAGTTTAAGTGTGGCTTGATTATCAGCTAGACCCTACAGACTGGGGTTGGAAGTTGGTCAACAACCCATTAGAACCAGTTCTAACTTTACTCCCACCTGCGCCGGAAAAAATGCTGAACACAATTTTTTGCAACTGCAAAAAGGGATGCAGTGCTAAATGTGGTTGCAAAAAAGTCGGACTGTTTTATTCTCTGGTATGTACGAATTGTCAAGGCCGGTCGTGCTCTAATGTTGAATCACCAACAGTGGAGGATTCATTTAATTCCAACGAGGTGACATGCGATACATCGCTACTGACGCAATTTACTTGTACCCAGGATGAAGATGAAGAAGGAGAAGAACAAGAAGAAGAAGAACAAGAACAAGTAGAAGAATAAGAAGAAGAATTTAAATGTTACGAATCAGACTAATTAACTTCAGTATTTTTTTTTAATTTACATCGCTTTTATCTTTTCCAATCATTGCTAATTTCCGTTATTTTGCAATAGTTTCAAATTAAACAGGATCACAACTGACCCGTGGAATAGGCTACTGGGGAAACCAAGTTAAAAAACGCGCTAAGTACACTACCTAATAGGTGGCGTGGAAACGTGTGCATAATATGACGATTATAACTTTTACAACTTTTCGAATCGTTATATCTCAGAAACGGTGGCTCGTAGAAAAAAAAGTATTGATACATTTTTTATAGATAATTTCATGATCTACAATATTTGTCTGGGGTATTTTATGATAAAATTTACCGTTTTGCCGAAAATCGCGAAAAATCATTTTTTTGACCTTTGACCTTGAATAAAAATTTTTCCATACAGGGGAATTATGGGGAACTTTAAAATTTTATTTATAATTATATTCTGAACAATTTTACTGATTTTCAGCTTGTTGTAAATTTATGTACCTTCGAATGTCTAGATTGACCGGACTACTATATTAAAACAGCATTTTCTGTAGACTTCATCAAAAGTTACTTTCGTTTGTTGCTTGATTATTTAACACATGTGAGATTTTTATTATACAGGTTGGGTTTTTTAAATTGTTACAGTTAAAACAACCTGAAAAATAATTAAATTTTCAACAATGACAGTTTACGAGGTAACCATAGATACCGTCATTTCACCCGTCACAGGCTTCTTGATACAATATAATATTTAAAATTTTAGAAATTGTAAAATATACTTATACATATTTCAAAAAAGTGTTTTTTGTTTAGTAATTAACTACAGATTTTTACAATTATCAAAAAAATCGATAAAAATTCATTGACAATTTTCACTTGGTAGCAATTTTATAAAAAGCATCAATGACATCTTGACAGAGTTTGTTGTTTTTGTCACAACTTTGCGTGACAGTAAATAAAATTGGTTTTCCAAATATTATCCCCTGGGATATTAATTTTGATTTAAACACGCAATTACTAATATAGTGTACTAACACGAATGCGTCTGCTATTAGCCTAATGAAATACAGACTTTGTCTAATTATATCATTATTCTAATTTTAAAATCTAAAATTATAATTGTTTTAGAATTTAACTTTTAAATCAGGTTTTGTAAAATTTTGATAAAATACGAAAACAATGTAATTATTTTTATTATAGGTAATCCATAACAAACTTGTAGGTATTTTAACTTTTACAAATTGCAGTGATTTTTTGACAGTCTTCCAATGTTTTGAAGTTGTTGTTGGTACCACGACAACCACCATACAAAGCACTTACGCATTCCCTTTTACCATTGTCCCATGTAAAAATCGGTACAGATCCATAGCAGGATACAGGCCCGGACTCGAAACTTTTTAGACAATCTAAAAAAACATGATATTTTTTCTTTGGGTTGGAATTTTTCATTAATGGTCTTACCTTCTTTTTGAAATGGAGATTCGTTTGGTGCTGCTGAAGCCCCAAAAACTTGAAAGCTCACCAAAACAATGGTCAAAACTAAAAGGTGCTTAAACATGTTTCTATCAGGTCTACAAATGCACTGACTGTTGGCTTTATCATCATCAAATTTATATCAAAATGTTGACCTATGATCTTTTAATCTGAATCAGACCAGACGAATGTTATTGTAAGATGTTTTTTGGGTTTTATCTAGAAAAACATTTAAAGAACCATTTAGTTGTTGTGGTCACACATCCTAAACTTTTTTTAAAACGTCTAATAATTCCATTGTTTTTCTAGACAATGGTACTTAATTGTGCAACGCGACTTTCAATTGTAAAATCAATTACGTAACACACCCTCGCCAATCTCTAAAGAATGTCATTACGAACGGCTTATCCATGTTGGGATTTTTATACAGACGAAGACCAGTGGCGGCTCGTGGGTGCTTTTTTAAAATGGCCGATAGCCCTACTAAACCATCATAAATAAAAAAAAATAAAAACAAAAAAAATATCAAAGCAAATGTAATTATTTGTGGTAACTTTTTCAAAAATGTCGAAATGTTTTTCCAAGCCTATTACGTTGTTTCTTACTTTTAAGTATAAACATAATATGCTTGATAATTTCCTTAGTCAGAGCATGCAGGTAAATCTGCACCTCGTAAATTATAATTTTCCATGACACATAGCGTTTAATTTTATTAACTTTCCGCATTTTGCACTATGTTTAAAGCCAATCAGTTATAATTACGTTACAAAGCAAGTTTGCGCGATACTTTACATATTTTGAAATTATAAACAAAACTTTAAAACATTCTAAAGCCATTTGGGAATAAAATGTTTTGGCCGAGGTATGCCAGCTGTAATTATAATTATAAGGCAAGGCGAGACAGCCCGCATTAAAAATTTACAACAATACGACTTTTAGTCTGCACCAGAATTTATTTAATTCACTTAACCTATGCTACTTGTTGTATAAATTTCCAGCTAAATTTATCTTTATACGTTTGCAGTCAAGCCTTTAGCTAAATTATGCAAGCACGGTTTTAGCAAAATATAGAATCGTGGAATTTTTGGTATGCTATGTCCGTTATTTCCCAAGGCTTTTTTACTTGAGTCTTATTTAAATTAGGTTATTTATATTAATTTACTGATTCTAATTTGATAAAATTTACAAAATACAAACTCACAAATTGAAAATATTTCTTTTATTTAATGAAAATATACTTAGTCAATACAAAATCTATTGTGTCATTTTTTTAATAATTGTTTTGATTTTTAACTAGGTAGGTACCTACAATAAATTTATTTTATTTTATAACACCAAATTTAGGTATAAAAGAAATATTAAAAATTTAAAATGATATAAAATCTGTATAATTTAAATTTTTTAAATGAAATTTGAAATTTGTCGATAAACTATGGTAAATAATAAATTGCACCAATTAAATTTATATTATATTTATTGGGGGCGCCATGGGGCCGGTACGGCCAAGCAAAAAGTTATCTTTTTTTCGCAAACTTAATTTAAATCCTGCTTGCGCAGAACTTGTTTATTTAATGTCATTATAAACTCATAAAAATTTGGTGTAGGTCCCATATCTAATAATTGAGATATCGGTATACCCAAAAATCCACTGCATTATTTTGTACCCGTTTTCCGATGCAACTATATTAGAATTGTGAAAAGTATTAATTTTATAAATAAGTTTTTTTTGTACCAAGACTTTTAATTTCAATTTTTATTATTAATAAAAATATTAAATTATTAATAAAAAAGTACAATAATTCTTCTTATTATTTGTAATATTTATGTAAACAAAATTAAAAATATGCGCTGCAAAAAGTATTTTTATTTTCAAAATAAAATACTTAGTTTTTGATTCATCAAGCCAGGACTAACGTTATTTTGAAAAAAATAGTGATGTTTTTTTACATAAAAAAGCTACATTTTCTAATTAATAGGCATGCAAGGACATACTTTTGTTGGAAATACATACATATACAAGATGTATAAGATTTTTTAAGTTTTTTTCGTAAAATTATTAATTTAAATGATATCAAACAAAATGACCGTTAGTTGCATAAAACTGGGAAAAAGACCTGACACGTTTCAAAACCATGTAAACCTTTATAACCATACATTTTTTTTTAAATATGTAGTTGCCTTTATATGCACTGTTGGTAGTTTGTGTACCGGTTCAACATAAATGTTTATATATGCACCTGTTTCTTAACTTAATTTGAAAAAAATTTTCCAAGAAATTTATTTTTTTAAAGGAATTGTTTAATTAATTGACTATTAAACCTGTATATGCAGGTGTAATCTTAACTAAACTGAATCAAAGGTAGTTAAAAAAATTTAAAAACAAACACATTTTTAAACCAAATTAAACAAATATGTATCGTGTATAATAGGAAAACAAAATAATTATGCATTGTGGTTTTTATAAATAAACACTTTTAAGTGGAATGATAATAATCATAAGGGTTTTGAAAGTGTATTTATTTACATTTTAAATAAAATAAAAATAACATGTTGTCTATATATTCATTTATAGATGGATTACTATCTAGATTGTTCAAACGGATTAGAATAATGCATTTATCATATTTTTTTGTTCCAGGTAAGATTCAACCCCTTAAACATAAGATCGAAGGTACGTTTATATGATTCTACAATTTATACGAAAAATTTTCCACTTAAATTTCAAATTCCTTGGTAAACATCTCCCAGGGCATTTCAACCACATTTTATAATTCCAATTTAAAATTTGGCAAGCTTTGCGTTTTCCAAGAAGTATTATTGATTTGGGGCATTCCCAGACACTGTTTATTTTCCACATATGCAATAGGTAACTTTAATTTGGTGAAAATATTTAAGTCAATCCATCATACTTTCTTTTAACTTGTTTTAACTCGTTTGCATAGCTCTAATGCATTCTATAGATTAGTCTTTTTATCTGGTTCGCGTAGCGGTATTTTATTACAGTTTACATCATTTTTTGCGCTGCTTTTCGCAAATTATATGCCAGTTAAATTCATTTGATACGTACGTACACCGATGTAATTTTATATCATGGCAAATTTGATACTCGTATTATTCTGTCCATGAATATAATAGTATTTGAATTCAGTTCGGAATTGTGTAAACTTCTCTATAGGTATTAATTTACCTAAAATAATTTATACCACACATAAATATTTACTTTTACTATATACAGCGCGTCACCAAAGTTTCTCCTCTATCATTTCTGCACTATAGTGCCATTTTTTTTTTATAAAAAAATCATTAAAATTTTTATAAGTAAAGTAGACATTTTGTGCCGCAACTGTTTGTTCCCGACCTATGACAACTGACGCATTCATTATCATTTATTACTTTTTCGTAGTTTTCCTGACGATTTTAAATTTCACATTTCACTTTTTACGTCGATTGATGCTCATGTAGCCCTTTTTTAAGTGTTCCACAAAATCATAATACATGTTGAACTATCCCGCCGTTATTATTCACACAAAGTTGACAGCGGCGTAGGAAATTATGATGTGTCGCTCTTGCTATCATACCCGGATAATTTTGGATTTCATCTGCCGCGAGTTGTTTTAATGTGTCAACTTCGCTCTGGTACAATAAACTAAACAATGATGATAAATATGATAGGTCAGTGACACCCAGTGGCTTCCTGGTTTAAAAAAATACATATAATGTTTTTATACAGATTTAACAAAGGTCATTACACCCTGTATATGTTTGTCGAGGGAAAACGCATAGGTGATTAAAACATAAAATTTTCCGTATTAAACAAAAACACAAACAGACTCGCACACGACAAAGCAGGCGCAGGTGGAACAGACGTCGTTTTTTAGACGTCGCGGCGCGTATATCGAACACTGCGGAATTCCGCCGGAGCGGAAAGGTTTCGTGTGCCGTTTTCCACGTCTGTCTGAAGAGCTGCGCTGCTAAATTTTCCGACGCCTTTCCGTTTTACGGTGTTTTTATATGGGCTAAAAGTTTTTGTTTGTAGGTATGTAAGTCCTACTGATATCTGTCAAAATAATACTAATCAAGTTTTTTTTAAATAATTTGCTGTGTTTTCTTTTAATTAATTTTAAAGTAAAAAATTTTCCTCATATTTGGGTTATTAACCTGTTATTTTATTAAATCTGTAATTATAATTAGAGAAAGTCTTAAGTTAGTTACTTCTTTTTTTAGACATATTTTGCTTTAGTTTAACTTTTGATATAACTTTTTGGTCAATTAACCACAGCTTTGGTTAATTTGAATATATTTTTAACCGACAATTTATATTTTACCAAATTAATAAATAATAAATAAACTGGTTAAAAAACTGATGGTTCTGAAGTTTTTATTGTTACCTGCATAGAAATATTAGTCTCAATACAGCTTTATATACTTTAGTTGTATTATTCAATATATATGTATAATATAGGTTGTGAGTTTGTGTGATAATGGAGCCTAAAGGAAATAATTTAAAAAAATACAGACTCACTATAGAAAAGTCAACAAAGTTGTAAATAATTATTTATCTACAAATCTTTAAACAGTCCCTTCACATTTAATTAATTTGGCAAGCATCTATAGGTTTTATCACAGAACAGATGAATTTTTTTTTCTTATTTTTTTTTAATATTAAAGTATTATGTACTACATCATATCTATAGATATACATATTTAGTAAATTATAATTATATAGACTTAAAATAAACTTAAACCGGTTAATTTTAGTTGACTTAAGAGTTAAAAAGAGTTAAAAAGGGTAAAATTAACCAAATATTAACTTATTTTTAACCAAAAGGTACATTAATCAAGAAGTTAAATTTAACTAGTTATGCAACTTAACCACAGCTTTGGTTAATTTGAATATATTTTTAACCGACAACTTTTATTTTACCAAATTAATAAATAATTAATAAACTGGTTAAAAAACTGATGGTTTTGCAGTTTTTATTGTTACCTGCATAGAAATATTAGTCTCAATACAGCTTAATATAATAATAATAATAATAAATCTTTGTTAAATAGGAAATCCTAATATACAATCAATAAAAACAATTATAAAAACATTAATATTTCTTTAAATAAATATAGTTGTATTATTCAATATATATAATATAGGTTGTGAGTTTGTGTGATAATGGAGCCTAAAGGAAATAATTTAAAAAAATACAGACTTTCTCTAACTCACTATAGAAAATTCAACAAAGTTGTAAATAATTATTTATCTACAAATCCTTAAACAGCCCCCTCACATTTAATTAATTTGGCAAGCATCTATAGGTTTTATCACAGAACAGATGAATTTTTTTTAAATATTTCTTTTTTTTTTAAATATGAAAGTATTATGTACTACATCATATCTATAGATATACATAACCATATTTAGTAAATTATAATTATATAGAGTTTAAATAAACTTAAACCGGTTAATTTTAGTTGACTTAAGAGTTAAAAAAAGTTAAAAAAGGGTAAAATTAACCAAATATTAACTTATTTTTAACCAAAAGGTACATTAATCAAGAAGTAAAATTTAACTAGTTATGCAACTTGGATATAGTCTGTAAACCAAAGGCTTAAACCCAAAGCCGAGGTCTATTTCATTTCTTATTCCTTTTTTTAAGTAAACCCAGTAGACAAATAAAAGTTGAGTGGATTACCTGCTTTAGAACAATTTGTAGGTTGATCACGTACGCCATTATTTAACTAGTTCTTGAATATTTAGATAATAGACCGTCTTTTATAAGAATTTTGTAAACCCATTAAAGTAAGAAACTATTTTGAATGTACAGGTGTCCCCTGAAATGCCTGTTCAAAATGATACCACATATTCCTGTCCAAAAATAAAAACAAAATTTTCTTATAGTTTTTTTTATTTATACATTTTTATCGTTTTTTAAACTGTTACTTATAGAGAAATTTAAGAATGTACTTGAGTGTGTCAAAATATATTTGAGTATTTTTAATTTTGTTTCTATTTCCTGAAATTTCTTTTTTTATGATTTTTAAGCATAACGTTCGTTATCTGTAATTTACCGCATTTTTTCAACCTTCCAATGGCATTTTTTCTTTTTCTTTCGGAATAGCTCGATGTACAGAGAATTTGTTGCTCGCATCGGAAGATAATATCTACAGGCTGCCGGTGGGAAATTATCTAGGTATCTCTCTCTCTCTTCAGTACAAGTTCCTTTTGTAAATTTTATGCATTGCCATGCTTTATTATTATTATGTAAAGGAGGCTACAAGCAATTTTTTCATACAAAATATATTTTAAAGGCCTTAATTGGGATATGCGGCGGGATTATCCGTGTACTTACATAAATGCTCTAGGTTTTAATTAAGAACATTGTATGTTAGATATTTATAGGGATTCTTAGTTTTGTAGTTTTTATTATGTATTCGTACCTTTTTAGTTATTATTAATTTAATAATAACTATGTATGAAAAATCTTTCTTATGCATATGATAAAATTTGACTTAAATATTAGTACATTTTTAATAAATATGGATGATTTATACAAGGTGGAGCACAAAATTTTACCTACAAACTGTAAATTTAATTACTTCAATAATATTCTTTGGAATATAGCATTTCACAAATTTTAATCTGGTATAATATGCTAGTCCAATAAATACCCAAACTTTTGGTATCGATTTTTTTGGTGGTAAGGTTTAAAAAAACAAACGATAATGGATAAACAAAGTGAACTACAAAGCTGAGCTTCAAATTGAAAGGAAAGTGCCCAAACAAAGAACCGAACGTTTTCAAAGGAAAAATGACAACAAAAATAAAATAAAAATCTCTGCTTTTATTTTATTTATTCCACAACGGTGGCTCTGTAAAATCGCATAAAATTATATAACCGCTTTACGACCGATTTAATAGTATTTCAGTTAGAAATGTTTAAAGAAAAAATCGATTTCACATAATAATACATTTGTTATCAGTTATTGAACTTTGTTTTCACCAAAACAACACATCAGTAGTGATTCGAATTTTTATCTCGGCTTGCCATGCACCGTTATCAAGGCCGACTGTGTGAAAAATGTGGATTCTTTGTTCCATGTAGGATGACCATATTAAAACACCAACTCGATTATTGTGGGAAAAGGAACTGGGAATGTATAGAAATAATGCAAAAAATGTAAAAATGAATATGGATTTATGTCGACATCGCCTTTAAAATTTACCTTCTGTTAAAAAAATATCGGAATTTTTTTTATTTCAGTCAGTTTAAAAGCTTAAAGGCTGAAGTTAGTTTTAAGTTAGTTGATGTGATAATATTTTGCAATTATAGTTTTAAAAAAATCAAATGATAAAATATTTTCCTAACATAATTCTATTTTAATATTTTAATTTATCAATAATTGTTACGGGCAATGTTAATTTAGAAAATTAAGTCAAAAGTGTTTATTGAGATGGTTACTTTATTTTCGTATAGATGTCGCTCTATACGAATATTAAATTTGAATAATTGTTCTTGCTTCGAACTCTTTTAATAAAATCCTGATAAACTAATTAATTAAATTAAAACAGCTGAAATATCCGTAGCGATGTAATTAAAGTTGATTTCAAGAAAGGTTTTAATGAACGGGTGGGGTGTCGTTATAATTGAGTCGGTCTAGAAGAGAATTAACGTCGTT